ACCAAAAAAAAAAAAAAAAAAAAAAAAGATTCAGTAGGGAACAGTGCAAGGAGTGAGACATTCACATATGATCACACAGAAAGTCATCAAGACAAGACATATTCTTCTAGGCAGCCCATCTTTATGTGTCCCTGTGTCAACAATCAAATTTTGTCAGACAGCATTTACAGGATCACTCTAGCAGTAATCACCTATTTCAGATAATTCCTGTGACTATGATGTTCTCTTCCTTGGGGAGATCCTACCCAGAGTACTAGCAATTTCATTTGTCACCTAAATCAAAGACATCAGTTTGATTATGGAGAATCTGTGAATCTTCATCTAGGTGAGGAAACCCAATATCAAACTGCTGTTGAAGAATCTTTTCAAGTAAACATCTGAAGGATGCAGACATCTTTGCATCTTGGTACATGCAAAGGCCATCTTTAAGGAGGAAACTACATGAAGTCACCATTTCAATAACCTGATATGTATATAAAGTTATTGATATTATACTATTACATATATATATATATATATATATATATACACACTACTATAAAAGTAATTCAGGCTATTAAAAAAATTGGAAAAGTTATCATCCTCTTCAGATATTTTCCTTCTAGCAAATACATGTTACCCTCAGATAAATCCCTCTGAACAGAAACAGTCTTTAACTGATAACCGGCCAAACATAATCTGGTGTAGATAAGGCACAGTATAATAAAATGATGAAAATCTCATTAACCAAAGCAATGTAGTAATTTGTAGATCTTGCCACTTGTTTTAAAGTAATCCAACTTTTAAAATAATTTAAGCAAATACTTGAGTGCAACTACAGCACTTGCCAGATACCTTGAAGCTTAGCACTGCTCCTAGCACAGTGGAGTTGCTCGATAAATGGTTGCTTATTTAAACTCCTAAAATATGTCAGATACTTTGGGCAGCACACCAATTACAATTAGGGAAAAAAGACTTCCTAACGGCTTGCTTTTTAAGCTCGTGTGAGCAGAAAGAAAAACATTAAGAAAATAAAATTACAAACAATATAAACGTGTAACACATGACAAAAGGCCAATTTCCTTAAGTTATGATATAGCATTACAAATCAATAAGAAAAAGCAAAATAGCCTAGCAGAAATACAGTCAAAGCATGGAACAGGCTTGTTCTTTTCAAATAAAAAGGTCTCCCCAAAAGTCAAACACATAACCTCATTTGTAATTAAAAAATGCAAATTAGAAAGGGGGAGGGGCAAGATGGGGCAGGGGATTAAAAGGTACAAACTACTATACATAAAATAAATAAGCTAAAAGGATATATTGTACAGCACAGGGAATATAGTCAATATTTTATAACTTTAAATGAAGTATAATCTATAAAGATATTGAATCACTATGCTGTGTACTTGAAACTAATATAATACTGTAAATCAACTATACTTCAAAAAAAAGAAATGCAAATTAAAAATTTTTTTTTCACTTATCAAGTTGGCAAAGATTAAAAGATTTGATAATACCCAATGGTGATAAGGGTAGGGGGACCCTGGCACTTTCACATATTGTAGAGGAGTCTAAGGTGACATGACTCTTCCAAAAGGTAATGGCCTACCTCTAGGAATTTTGCTTTCAGATATACTCAAAGGCACAAAGATATATGCACCATAAAATGTGCATTGTTACATTGTTTTGTATTAATAAAAAAATAAAAAATCATCCATAGCTGGTTAAGTACGTTATGGTACATTCATACAATGGGAATACGAAGACATCAGAAAGAATGACAAACTATACACATTCATACTACTCTGCACTAATGATATCTTGGAGATATTTATCCATGTATATAGTATGATCCCACTTATGAATATAAAAATACACATATATTTATATGTGTGTATTATGTGTAGTATTAATGAGTGAAAAAATACTCATGAAACCAAGTCATTGCCACAGAGGTGACTTTAACGAGTGAGTTTAAATTTATATGTTTACTTTATACATATATACTAAACTTACATATATACTTCCATTTTTACCTTTTTAAAGTAGCAAACAAAAAGTACAGTATGAGTATAAACTGATATAATCTTTCTGGAAAGCAATTTGCTAATACAGATCAAGAACCTTAAAAATGTTCATACCCTTTGACACTGTAACACCATTTCCAGAAATCTACCTATAATAGGTGTAGAATATTTATGTACCAAAATGTTCCCTGTAGTATAATTTATGATAATGAAAAACTGGAAACTCTGATTATAATTTATTTATTTAAAGGACAACTAAAATCACATACAGTCATAAGAGTAAGACCATAGAAAATAGAATGCAGTTATAAGAAATAATATTTAGAGGATTATTTACTATGAGAAAATGATCATGACACCAAATTTTTTATAAAGTATACCACCAATTTTGTTTTAAAATATATATATATGTGCTTAGAAAAAAACTGCATATGTTAGAGAATCAGAAAACTCCCTATGTATTTTTTTTTTTTTTTTTTTTTTTTTGCGGTACGCGGGCTTCTCACTGTTGTGGCCTCTCCCGTTGCGGAGCACAGGCTCCGGACACGTAGGCTCAGCGGCCATGGCTCACGGGCCCAGCCGCTCCGCGGCATGTGGGATCTTCCCGGACCGGGGCACGAACCCGTGTCCCCTGCATCGGCAGGCGGACTCTCAACCACTGCGCCACCTGGGAAGCCCTCCCTATGTATTTTAAAGCTCCGTTTCCCTTTTTATCTGAAAGAACAGCTGCCACCAGCTGCAGTTGCTTCACCACCCACTTCTCAAACCCTCTGCAGTCTGTCTTTTTCCCCATTACACTTCTGAAATTATGTAAGGTTTCCAATTATTTAATCACTGAGTTTTTTCAGTTCTCATCTTCCAACTTTTCTGCAGCATTTTACATTTCTGTTGAACCGGTTTTATCTTTTTTCTTGGTCTTGTTTATTGGTTCTTTCTTTTGCTGTATCATCTTTCTGCCACTCACTTATACACAGGAGTTATTTCATCCTTCTTTCCCCACAGTAATCTTAATCTGCTTCCTATGTCTCATATTGTTTCTTGCTTTAGACTAGGGCATAGCCATAACTTTAACTGAGAAATGAGTGCAATATATTCCTTTAAATTTTGATTTCTGGGACTTCCCTCGTGGCGCAATGGTTAAGAATCCGTCTGCCAATGCAGGGGACATGGGTTCGAGCCCTGGTCCGGGAAGATCCCACGTGCCGCAGAGCAACTAAGCCCACGTGCCACAACTACTGAAGCCAGTGCGCCTAGAGCCCATGCTCCACAACAAGAGAAGCCACCGCAATGAGAGGGCCATGCACACCAACGAAGAGTAGCCCCTGCTGGCTGCAACTAGAGAAAACCCACACGCAGCCACGAAGACCCAATGCAGCCAAAAATAAATAAATAAATAAAATAAAAAATGTGATTTTAAAAATTCATACCTATTTCTGGTGTTTTTGTTTCTTTGTTTTAGTTTTTGGCCGCACCACGTGGCATGTGGGATCCTTAGTTCCCTGACCAGGGATGGAACCCGCACCCCCTGCCGTGGAAGCGCAGAGTCTTAACCGCTGGACCCAGGGAAGTCCTGCTATCTATTTCCTAATAATTTAAAAAGTAACTTATACTGACCCCTTTCAGCATAAACTATCAAAATAGAAGACACAGAAATAAGTGACTCACCAATTGTATAAATAACTTCAAAATCATCCATTTGAGAATCAGTTATGCTGTTCTTTGCTTCACCTTTCACTTCCCCAAGGAGAAAACCTTCCTATGAGGATAAAAATAAGCAGTATATGGAATACACTGATAGATTACCAAGTTCAGTCACTTAACTAACCAGTATTTCCCAAGAATTTTACAACACATACAAGCGTGTGTTACCAGCTGGAGCACACACAAAAGAAAGACTAGGTGCATTCCAGTTTACCTGGGCAACATAACCAGGTTAAAAAACACGAGTAGAAGAGATTGTAAATACCACTGTGACTTTAGCACTCTTGGAAGTATAAAAGGCTTAAAGGCAGAAATGAGAACACAATGTTCAAGGAACAAGGAGTAGAGCAGTTAGCCTGAGAATGGAAGCCTCCCATCTGTAATGAAATCTTAGGTTGCTATGAACAGCACCAATAATGGACCATCCTGAATGACTGGCCAAGGAGTCTGGATTAATGGCACATGCTTCTGGGAGTCAGTGGAGGCTTCTGCGCTATGAAATGACACAGGATGGGCTTTTAGATTAAGCATGTGCACAATATCAAAGACCTGTAATTCAATATTAGAGTCTGCTGTATAAAAGAGGACCTGTGAGCCCTGGTTCTTTTTAAAATGCAGGCATTTTGCCACCATAGCAGTGATCTCTTTGAGTTTCAGAGAATTCACTTATTTCTCTTGGCACCTTTAGAAACCCAATGAGCTTGACAATGAATTTTTTACCGTCTTTATAACTTCTTTAGTTAAAAATGCTTTAAAAAAATTTTTTTTTCATTAAAAGAAAAACACAAAAGTAACATTTCCACAATGTAAGTCTTTGCTGGAATCAAAGGGGAACAATACGGAACTCTACTCTCTAGCGTTCTATACAAACCCCTGGAAAAGAGACAATGCAAGTACAGCTCTCCATCAAACCACCTTTTAAGGACTTTAGGAAAAAGAGGAACAGAGTCCTCTCTAACACTAGGGCACTTTGCAAGTGCTAATCCTTTAAGCTACAGAGGACTGACAGTCCCACTCTGGTTATGTTTACACTAAGGTATTCCACAGTAATTTCTACAGCCACACACATTTTAAATCATCATGTATTTGCTCTTTGCTAGGTGTTAATCTACAAGCGTGTTTAAAATTGCATACATGAAAGATAGCAATTCCAACTTTATTAGGACTACGCCAAAAAACTATTTTGGATAAGGCCAGCCTTTATTATAAAATGAAGGGCACAAAATTTAGCAGAAATCACTAGGGTTTTATTCAGTATGATATTCTCTAAACCGTATTAGCAAGTTACGACACACTTACTCTAGGACACTACTCAGACTCAAAGTTTTACAGTATTTTATAATTTCATAAAAATGAAAGTTTTTAAAAATAGGTACTGTATTTTTTTTTAAAAAACTACTTCGCCTATAGAGGTTTTGAACCTAGGCGAAAGTGTGAAATAAGCATTTAAATATCTAATATTTCAGGATAAACTTAAATGTTTAAATTACAACCGAAAGCATCAGACAAGGAACTAGCTCAGGCCTTACCACTTAATAAATTTGATACCAATGCAAACAAAAGTCAGCTATCCAATATACGAAATTAATCTTCTTCATCTACTAAGATTCCCCCCAAAATAGCCACTGGATGCATCATTTCTCATTCCTTTACAAGCCTTCCATTTCAACAAACGTGCACAGTAGCTGCTCTGAAGGGGAAAATTGAGTTCTCTGCGAAAACCACTGTCGGTAGTTAGGAGAAAGTTAACCGGCAACCTTCCCAGCGAGCGGTAGCGGGAGAGCGCTGTCTGAACCTTCTATTCCTTCACAACCAAAATGAACCAGAAAAGGGGGACTACTGAAAGAGAGAAATGCGGGTGTGCGGGACACTCCGGGTGGGACGCGGAAATAAACACTGGTTGCGAGAGGGAGGGCTAACTCTGGAAAAGGCTCACCACCGGAGGCACCTCCGGGGCCGCCCGGGAGCGGGAGAAGGCAGCCCCGACTGCACAGAGCCGGCCCGGCGGCGGCGTCGGGAGCCCGCGTGCGGGACCCGGGCAGCGACGGCCGGGACGGCATCCGCACGCGCGCGCGCGCGCGGGTCCTTTTCTGAGGTGACGCCAGAGCCCGCCCCGGTCCTCGGCTCACCGTGTCCGAGTCGGTGTTGAGGTGCTGGAAGACGAGCGCGCCCAGCACAAAGCCAGAGAGCACCGCCGACGTGCTCTCGCCCTCCATGCTTCCGCCGCCGCCGCCGCCGCCGCCGCGCTGCTCGAGCTGACACGGCTCTGCGCGGCCCGCACCGGGCCGGGTCCTCGGCGGCGAGGCGGGGCCGAGCGAGGAGGAGGGATCTGCGCCGGCGCACTGGCCGCGGCGCGCTCCCCAGAGGGGCGGGGTTGGTGGCGAGTCGCTGGGGCTCTCTGATGCGGAGCTGGCGGCTCTGACGAGGGCTCTGGTTCGTCCATCTCAGTGTTGGGTACCTGCCCAGCGCCAGGCCACGGACAGCGCTTTGGTGGCTAGCTGCTACTGAGGGAACCTGGCATATGTGCAAAACTGGAATAAGTGAACATTTCTGACAGAATAGAGGCATTGCCTAGTGGCATAATATCACAATGGAAATGCCACGTTTGGAGTTTTCAGAGTGTCAGATGCTGCCCGTTACCCATGGAAACTTCTGGAATACTAACGACCGTTTCAGAGAATGTCTTTTCTAGATCTCTCCAGTGATGTCCCGTCCCATGCAGTGGGGAGGAGGGGAACGTGTTTCTTTGAGAGTTTGCTTGCTTTTAGAAAATTGAGGACTCAGTTCAAAGAATATACAGACTTTTTAACATTGTTCTGACAATTTAATGATAGGTATAAACGTACTGTGATGGATCATTTGACATAAACGTAAGGAGAGTAGGAAGACCAGGGCTTGCCAATTTTCCACACACTATATATAAAGCTATGGTTTTTAAATGAAAGCCAGCAAAATATCAGACTGAATTGAATTGATATTACATATTTCTCGGTTTTGTTGTGTAGCAGCCATATTTCACTAACACATTGAACACATGTGTAGAATTAAAGATTATGTGTTTATTCCCTAAAATTGTTTCGTGCTGTCGTTTCAGCATAATCACTGTTAATATGAAGAGATTTTCACGTAATTTGTGTTTTATGGATAGTAATGATCTAAAGGATTAAAAAATAAAAAACATTAGTCCAAGAGAGTGGAAGTAAACCCTCACATGTAAGGTCAAAAGATGGTTGCCAAGACAATTCACTGGGGAAGGACAGGCTTTTCAACAGATGCAAAAGAATGAAGTTAGATCCTTAACTTATGCCATATGTAACAATCAGCTCAAAATGGATAAAAGCTCTAAATGTAAGACCTAAAACGATAACATTCTTAGCAGAAAACATTGGGGAAAACTTCATGACACTGGATTTGGCAATGATTTCTTGCATGTGACACCAAAGGCAAAGACAAAGGAAAAAATAGACAAATTCTGCTTCATCAAATTAAAAACTTTTGTCCATCACAGGACACTATCAAGAGAGTGAAAAGGCAACCTACAGAATGGGAGAAATATTTGCAAACCATATATCTGATAAGGAATTAATATCCAAAATATATATAAAGAGCTACAACTCAACGACAACAGAAAAAAAAAAACAGTTAAAAAATGAGCAAACATCTTCTTGAATAGACATTTCTCTAAAGAAGCTATACAGAAGGCCAATAAGTACATGAAAAGATATCAATACTTAACATCACTAATCATTAGGGAAATGCAAATCAAACCATAATGGCATACCACTTCACACCCATTAGGATAGCAATGGTATTATAAAAAATATATTTGGTCTCTGTTCCTGCATCCAGGAACAGAGTTCCTAAAACCCTTAGAGTCTCCAGAACGATAATTATGTCTTCTGTATGCTAACGTGACTGTTGGGGAGGGAGGGTGGTGGACTAGATAGCTTAAGGATGGGAGCTAGTTTCCAGAAAGACCAAGCCTTGATCAGAGGATTGAAACTTTTAGCCCCACTCCTGACCTTTTAGGTGAGAGGGGCTGGAGATTGAGTTTAAATTGTTGCCAAAATCTCAGCTTCTCTGTGTACCGCTGTGGAACAGAAATACGGAGACAGAGGTTTTGGAGGAAGAGAGAGATGGATTTATTTTTCTGCCAGGCAGAAGGGAAGACACAGCAGGCTAGAGCCTCAAGAACTGTGCCCCCCACCTTAGGGAGCTGGAGAAGATTTTTATATGTGGGGCTCGCAGTCCAGGGTATATGGTAAGGACCAAAGTAGCGAAGGTCTTACATTCATTCTTCTTCTTCCTGCATTATTTCAGAACAGTTGCAGATGGCTTCAGGCAGCCCGGTAGTTGGTAATTGGGTCCGTTTGTCTCTGGGTTATAAAGGCCTGCTACCTTTTTTCTGAAATGCAAATGCTACAAGGGGTGAGATTTGCTACAAGGGAGTGCAGGATGTAATTCACATAGTGTTAAAGAGTAATAGGTTAGTTTTGTGAAGTACAAATCTAGTTACAGACACTACAGATTAGTGACAGTTAAAAAAAAAAAAAAACAGCAAACCTAGGAGAGATTAACTCTTTCAGGCCAGGTTATGTTTCTTCTCTAACCTGTTCACTGTTCCCTTTATTTTCCTTGTTCTCAGGAGAGGGAAAACTTCATTTCTATATTTGCTGCAACAAAATCACTGATGGCCAGTGATTTAACCAACTGTGCCTAAGTAATGAAACCTCCATTAAAACCACTAAAGAATAGGGTTCCAGGTTAAAGACTTGAATGTAAGACCTGAAACCATTAAACTCATAGAAGAAAGCATAAGCAGTGCACTCTTTGACATCAGTCTTAGCAATATTTTTCTAGATGGTCTCCTTAGGCAAGGGAAACAAGAGCAAAAATAAACAAATGGGATTACGTCAAACTAACAAGTTCTGCACAGCAAAGGAAAGCATCAACAAAATGAAAAGACAGCCTATCAAATGGGAAAAAAATATTTGAAAATGATATATCTAATAAGGGGTTAATATCCAAAATATATAAAGAACTCACACAACTCAACAACAAAAAACCCTGAACCATCCAATTAAAAAATGGGCAAAGGAGCTAAATAGAAAAATTTCCAAAGAAGACATACAGACAGCTAACAGGCACATGAAAAGATGTTCAACATCACTAATTATTAGGGAAATGAAAATCAAAACCACAATGAGATACCACCTCACACCTGTTAGAATGTCTATTATCAAAAACGCAAGAAATGGGGACTTCCCTCGTGGCACAGTGGTTAAGAATCCGCCTGCCAGTGCAGGGTACATGGGTTCGAGCCCTGGTCCGGGAAGATCCCACACGCCGCGGAGCAACTAAGCCTGTGTGCCACAACTACTGAGCCTGCGCTCTAGAGCCCGCAAGCCACAAATACTGAGCCCGAGTACCACAACTACTGAAGCCCATGTGCCTAGAGCCTGAGCTCCACAACAAAGAGAAGCCACCGCAATGAGAAGCCTGCGCACTGCAACGAAGAGTAGCCCCCGCTCGCCGTAACTAGAGGAAGCCCACACACAGCAACAAAGACCCAACACAGCCAAAAATAAAAATAAATAAATAAATTTTAAAAAATAATGAAATAAAATGCACCAAACAAGTCTGCTCTATTTACCCCAGTTTGGAAGAATTTTTTAAAAGCTGGAAAGCAAAGAATACAATGAGAAACCTGAACTGGCATGGCCTGGGGCAAGAGTCAAGCATACAAATCAAGATGAAGATTGGCTAAACGGGGCCCCTTGACTGAGGACCCAAAATCTAACGCACAAGAGGAGGTAAAACGGGTCTGGGGATGAGGAAGTCTCTGAGATACCTTGACACAGGAGCCTCATGCACTGTGGCACCAACACCACTTGGTGAAGCCCTAACATGGCCTGCAATTAGATTGAGAGAATACTGCATAGAAATGGAAGAGTTGATATCTTCTTGTTTATATCTTATTGACTTAAAAGTACTTATATATTAAAGATATTGACCTTATGTCTGTCAAATATTGAAAGTGTTTGTTTTTCCCCAGGTGGCTTTTAAATTTTACACGCATTTAAAGTAAATTACTTTTAATACAGAAGCTTTAAAATTTTGTATTTAAAGCTTCTATTCATGCCCTTAATCTTTCTAATGTATCGTGTTTAGGAAGACTTCCCTGTCTTATGATTAGTAACGATTATTTTTGAATTAGCAGGGGACATATGTTCGAGCCCTGGTCCGGGAAGATCCCACATGCTGCGGAGCAACTAAGCCCGTGTGCCACAACTACTGAGCCTGTGCTCTAGAGCCCGTGAGCCACAACTACTGAGCCCCCAAGCCACAACTACTGAAGCCCATGCGCCTAGAGCCCATGCTCCGCAGCAAGAGAAGCCACTGCAATGAGAAGCCCGCGCACCGCAACTAAGAGTAGCCCCTGCTCGCCACAACTAGAGAAAGCCTGCGCACGGCCACGGAGACCCAAAGCAGCCAAAAATAAATAAATAATTTTTTTTTAAAAAAAGGGGCAATTACTAATTAAGACTAATGCCATTTGCGGAATGGAACCTTAGCAGAGATCATTTACCAAAGTCTAAACACCGGATCCATACAAACAATAGAATTGCTTTAAAATTGTTTTTTTAATGGTAATTTTTTTCTTTCTTCACTAAAAGGAACTAGTACTCCTTAGAGAAAAGGCTGATTTTGAAAGCTGGAGCAAGAGAAAATACAAGATGAGCCTGAAATATTTATTTGGTGTCGGAAAATAAAGATGGACTCAAAAAATGAGGTAAACATGTCAACCTGACATAGGAGTCAGGTGGAAAGGGCTGATACTGACCAAATCTGATGCAAAATATCAAAATAAATAACAATAGTAATAAATTATGTCCCATTGAATAGAGTAAAAATCTTTGAGTCCATAGGGATACAAATGAGTGGATGAATAAATAAATGGGGTAAAAGAAAGCTCTTCCTTACAGTTGAATACCAACTAATAAATGTAGAAGGAGTCACAAAATTAGAAAACCCCTTTTGGCAACTCTCATCATCATCATCATAATTGATACAGGCAACAGGTACTAAAACTAAAGGGTAAAGTTTGAGTAACAGCCTATTTATGTAGTGTCCAAGTATTTCCACCAAAGATATTTATGAATGACAGGAGGAAAAGTAACTTTGCAAACCCCACCTTAATGAAATAATGAAATAATGAAAGTTAA